TCTTTCTTTCTTTCTTTCTTTCTTTCTTTCTTTCTTTCTTTCTTTCTGTTTTTCTCTCTGTGTCTTCTCTCTCTTTCATCTATTGTTTTCTCTCCTATCCATTCATCTCTCTTTCTTTCTTTCTTTCTTTCTTTCTTTCTTTCCTTCCTTCCTTCCTTCCTTCCTTCCTTCCTTCCTTCCTTCCTTCCTTCCTTCCTTCCTCTCTCTCTTTCTTTGTTTATCTCTCTCTTGTCTCTCATCTTTCTTTCATTAAGATAGATTAAGCCTCCAAAGATTAACAAACATTAATCCTACTTTTGCACTGTCTTTTTTTTTTTAAATCACTGCAGGCATATGTCAATCTCCTCTTCTGGTATCAAATATTTTGTGGGTTTTCAGGAACTCCCATGATTGATTATTGGAGCCTGATTTTCTTCAATCTTCTCTTCACCTCGGTGCCTCCCGTCATATACGGGGTTTTAGATAAAGACGTCTCTGCAGAAACCCTCATGAAGCACCCAGAGCTTTACAAAGCAAGTCAGAAAAATGAGGTATTTATTTTTGGGGCTTGGCTCACCTATTTGAAAACTCCATCGATTTGTCAGATCTCGGTCCCACACTCCTTGAACCATAATTTTTATAACTTGTTCCTTTCTGACTTTCTGAAAAAGTTGGAGCTGTAAAATGTTCTTAGGCAGGTTTCTAACCAACGGACGGAGATGGATTTTTGGAGAGAAGTGTATTTTTTTCCCCATGAAATGCAAGATTTATTATACTTCCAGTTGCCTCCTGGCTTGGCCTGGCCTGCTCTTCCTGATTTTCGTTGTTTATATTATTTAAGGAAAACTTTTCCAGAAACGTGGATTTATTGTACAGCTATTTCTGTTCATCAGCTCTTAGAGGAATGGGTCAGTCTGTCTAACACTGATCCTACATTGTTAGGATAGGATAGGATAGAAAATATGGAATGGAATGGAAAGACAAGAGAAGAGAGAAGAGAAGAGCTGAGTTGGAAGGGACCTTGGAGGTCTTCTAGTCCAACCCCCTGCTCAAGCAGGAGGTATACCATTTCAGACAAATGGTTGTTCAATTCATTAAACATGAAACTCAGTCAACTGAGCGTTTAGAAATGTATCACAAATATTACTGACTATTATTAGTCAATTATTATTATTATTATTATGCCTTTCAAAATATATCCCAGCCAATATTGGCGGTGTCGGAGATTAACTGAGTTTTTGCTTCCCTTCCATGGAGCCTGTGTTGTGGCGTGGAGTGCGTTAATTCTTGTTTTCACCAGAAATCCAGCTGTTGGGATTCTGGGCTTTGTCCATCGCCATCTTGGAAAGTTGACTAAGGAGATTTGGTTTGGATTTCAATTCAGGTTGAGTTGGAGACGTGACCTTAGGTTTAGACATGCAAACTCACGTAAAGGTTAATCATTCAAACCAGCAGAAATGACCAGCCTATTTTCTTTATTTTATTTTACTTTCATTTCAGCCGTACGTGGGGATAGCCTTTGCAATGAACCTGGTGGATGCGTTTTACCAAAGTCTGGTTTGCTTTTTTATCTGCTACTTTGTAAGTATTTATAAAACCAGCTTCTGGTAGTCTGTTGGCTTAGAAAAGCTCGTTTAGTGACCGGCATTGCAAAAGTGACTTCTGACCGTTTTTCACGCTTACTTGAAAGCATCTCTGTGGTCACGCGATCAAAATTCAGACCCTTGGCAAAAGACTCGTATTCCCCGGGCCACGCGATCCCCTTTTGCGACCGTCTGACAACGGGGATTCACCTGATTACTTTCTGACCGTGTGACTAATTGAACAACTGCGGAGTGATTCCCTTCACAATGGCGGCAAGGAAGTCCGTGAAACGGCACAGAACTCACTTAACAACTGTCGCACTTAGCAACAGAAATGTTGGGCTCCATTGGGGTCGTACGTCGGGGACTCCCTTTCCTTGATCTCTGATGCTTGGGCTTGGGGGGGTTGGTCTAGATGACCTACAAGGTCCCTTCCAACTCTGCGAATGTTTTAAATTTTTTTTTTAAATAGTGTTTATTTGTCCCAATCTTTACAGCCCCACCTGGAATCCTCATTAGGAATTTCTGCATCAAAATACCAACTCGTTTAATATTGCTTTATGTTATGATCGCAGTTTGTGGTGTGTCATTCTTATATATTCTATAAAACAGGGGTCGCCAACCTTTTGGACCTCAGGAACCACCAAACTCATCATTTTAAATCCCGCAGACCAGAGACCCTGGGAAAATCCCACCCCACCCCCCAAAAGTCTGCAGGAAAATCTCCCACCCCATTTTCCTTCCGATTGATGATTCTTTATTTGGGATCGCAGGATACCGTCTCCAGCTCCATTCTCCGGGGGGAGGGAGAGAGAGAGACTTTTGGCTTTGTGCAAGGAAAACAGCAGAAGCCGCAGAAGTCTTTCTTTCTCTCCCCCAAAACTCTGCCAGAAATGAGTCTTTGCCGGCGCAGCCTCTTGGAGCAGGAGGCCTTGCAGGGCCGCAAAGACTCCTTTCTGGCGGAGTTTGGGGGAGAGAAAGAAAGACTTTGGCTGCTTTCCTTGCATGCAGCCAAAAGCAGAAGAAGAAAGAAGCGGAAAGAAGCAGCCCGGTGGCCAGGCCAGGCGCATGGGGTGAGTGTGGCAAGTTCCCCCCCTTCGCCCCTTTCCGCCTTCCCCTCACTACCTCGTGTTGTTCGCAATGCAAGTGAAGCAAGCCTTGTGTTCCCACACAGCCTGGATTAGTTAGTTAGCTTAATTTATTGTCATTGCACCTGGTAAAATGAAATCAAACACCATCCTCAGTGCACATCATGAGCACGAAAATGAACATAACACACATCCTTCACACTCCATATTAATTGCTTTGGGGGGGTGCTTTGCGGGTGGCATTTCTCTGCGGATCACCAAAATTTTCTCGCAGACCACTAGTGGTCCCCGGCCCACTGGTTGGTGACCACTGCTATAAAATATATCTAGATTCGATGGTCACATCATGTTTTTTTTTTCCTTTGCAGACATTCCTAAATTCTGATGTAGACGTCTACTCTTTTGGAAACCGTATGAACACCACCATGCTTTTTATAATATTACTACACCTTCTGATTGAAAGTAAAAATTTGGTGAGTATCTTAGATGTTCAGTGCCTTCCCACATTATTTCCATTTTTCTTTGCTTTTTATATTTCGATAAACGAAGGACGGTCGAGAAAAGTGTAAAAATGAACAAGCCACCGAGCTAGAGCTGAAGCCTCCGTCCAAATAAAATATTAGTTTTCAGACTGCACTTTTTTTTAAAAAAGCGAAGAAAAATTCCCTTTCACGGCATTTAATTTTAGCTGTCCAAATGGAAACAGGTCTTATGGAATCCAAATTTGTACTGTTCTGTTTTGTTTTGTTTTTTAAATTTGTTTCAGACTATTATACATTTCTCTGTTTTCGCTGGTAGCATCTTTTTATATTTCTTCATCCTTGGGCTTTTGGGAGCTTTCTGCGTCCTCTGTAACCCACCAGCAAATCCATACTGGATTATCCAGAGGCAACTGATGAATCCGATGTTTTATCTGGACTTCACCATCGCAATTACACTGGCTTTGCTTCCAAGGTAATGTATTACTTTTAACCTGTCTAAATCCACCTTGCTTTTTCCCACACTGGCTCTCATCCGGTACGAGGGGCAAGAATTTACTTTCGAAGTTCTTCCCAGGGAAATTGGCAAGGGGAAAATGAAAATAAATGGAAATTCTTGCATTTATTTACTCCTGAGCTGGGTATGGAGTGTGTGAAATACCCTGTTGTATAATCCTTCCTCTAGCAATCTCAAATCCTCTCTGGTTCTCCACAAGGTACAGGCAGTCCTCGATTTATGACAACCACAACTGAGCCCAAAACTTACGGGGTGAAGTGAGAATTATTATTTTTTTTTAAAGTGAGTTACGACTTTTCTTGACGTAAGCGAATCCATGTCCAATCCAACAGGGAACCCTCTTACTAATTTAACCAACGCGACGGTCCAATTAACTACCTCGGCAAGAAAAGCCGCAAAGCAGGGCAAAACTTTTCGCTTAACGAACGTTTTCGCTTAGCGACATACGTTTCGGGCTCGACTGTGGTTGTAACCTGAGGACCCCCTGCATAATTCAACCCAATCCCTTCCCCCGCTTGCTTGAATATCCGATTTCTTTTTAGGTTCCTGTTCCGGGTCATCGAGACCACCCTGTTTCCAAACCCATTACTGCAAGCCAGGATCCGTGAACGTCAAAGCCGTGCACGAGGGAAGAGCAGGCAGCAAACCCACAGCAAGTCTAGATAAAAATGAAGTGTCCCAAGCGGCATATATATACGATGCGTATTAAAATTGACCTTTCTCATATAACGGTTGATTTTCATGGATATATGACCGGCCCTCATTCTGGCCATTTTCATACACTGTGATTTCTGTGATTATCCTAAAAAAATAACAAAAGGTGGTGTTATTTTAGGATGATAGGGTTAGCTTTTGAAACAAGATACTGCATGCTGCATCTATTTAGGATAGGAGAGAATATAGAATAGGATATAAAATACAGAATAGAATATAGAAAATAGAATAGGAAATAGAATAGAATAGATGAATATAGAATAGAATATAGAAAATAGAATAGAATAGCTGAATATAGAATAGAATAGATGAATAGAAAATAGAATAGAATAAATATAGAAGAGAAGAGAATATAGAATAAAATAGAAAATAGAATAGAGAATGTAGAATACATAATATAGAAAATAGAATAGAATATAGAATAGAATATAGAAAATAGAATAGAATAGAATAGATGAATAGAGAATAGAATAGATGAATAGAGAATAGAATA